ATTAAGCATATGACTTATACATCAATGGAAAATAATTTTATATTATTGTATAATTTAGCTTTGATCAAGTTAATCCATTGTAAATTTAGTTCATTCTTAAATATTAAAATCGTACATGTTTTTGACCTACCTACTACTGGATATTAATTTAACTGAATTTAGCATTCTTAAGTAATAAAGTAGGGTTATCGATGCAATATTATGATATTCCTTACGAAAACGGAAGATGGTCACATGCGAACTTTGTAATTAAACAGAGCAATGTGTTTGAGTTAATATACTCGTCTCAATGAACAGTTGGCAGCCAGATGTTGTTTAGAGTTTGATCACTACAGATGCATAAAAACTTATTTTAAAAATACGTTTGAACGACTTATTATTATATACTACAATATTAAATGAGTTTAATGGGTAATAAAAATGATTTCTCGCAAATATCATTTTTTAATGACAAAATAAAATTGATATCGAATAAAATCTACATTAAAAAAAAAGTGTTTACCTATTTTTAAATCCGACTTTATTGCATTTTAAATTTCCATCAGGTGAACCGTCAAATTGTTTGCAATTCTATCATAGTATCAGAAAAGAAAAACTTAGAATTAAAATTAGATTATGTTCATAAGATTTCCATTACATATATAAAGTATTAAAAAATACAAAGTCTGCCTCTGGCAGCTGATTAACAAAACTACTTTCATGAATTATGAAATACTCATATACCCGAACTGGAACTTCCTATTTCATTTCATTAGCTGACCTAAAATGTGGGGGGAAGGGATTATTAATAATGCGGACTACCAGCCCAAAACGTTAAATTAGTAACAAATCGAAACATTTAATCAATTAATCGATTTATTTATTTGATACCATTAGGTATCAGCAGAATATCTTATAGTCGGATCAACTATTTGTTTGTTTACATTTACTTCTATTAAAACAGACCATATGCTTGGCAAAATATGGGCATGATGAGAGTTACGTACACCGCAATAACAATACAAATACCTCTGACTACTCCATTACGGATTATAGTTGCGAGCATATTATTTTTAATGCGTAACCTTGCAACCGTTCAAAGCTCTTGAACATTACCTTCCGCCAGTTTCATAAAAATTTGCCTTCCCATTTTTAACTATGCTAGGTATAATAAAGGGCGAAAAATATTGATATATAAATGTTTATGCACGCAATTTCAAACCAGTAGATTTAACTTTAAAAAATTACGAAGTAAATCAAATCATACTAATCTCAGAACAAATGTATACTTTGTGTTGTAGGTTGTCTTCTAACTACGTCGAGTATTTCTTATGTGTTATTTCATACCATAAATACCAAAGATTCTTCTATCATGTCTGTCATAATTATGTATATATATACTATATAATGTATATTGATACATATCTTACAATTATATATAATAAAATTGTAACTATTTTAAATACATATATTAAAATAAATAATATGCGAGTCTTAATAAGAGCAATGAATGCCAAAAAAAATTAGAAATTTAGTTTACTTGTCTGTTTATATGTTTGTTTCGACCTGACGCAAAAACGACTACACTAAATTGGATGCGATTTTCATATTTGTGTTCCTAAAGGTGTAAATCTGATATGTTTCATCTTAATACGCCGTCTAGATGTGGTATACATCATTGATTTTCATATTTTTAACGTAATATAATTACAAAATATAACAAAGCGTTCTTTAAACTTTGATAATACTCGGTAGCAATAAAGCTGAATTACCAATGATACCAAAATGCAGATAGCGCGTACCGGTTCAAAGAAAAGATAAAGTCCAAAGTTTGCATTATCTATTTTCATAATAACATAAATATTTATGAGATGTACTTAATTGCATTTGTTGGAAAATTTAATTAATATTATATTTTTTGATATCTACTTAATCCATAAAACGTAACAATCAGTAATTTTTTATACCTATACAAAATTCTAAGAAAAAAATCCAGTAGGCGTCTAGATTAAAGGTATATATTTAAGTATATGTTTTACTAGAGAAAGATTGTGGAATAACGTAAATGAATATCAAATAATAACAATATGAATATAAATGATAGTGAATAGAAAAAAATATATTGGAATAGTTGTATGTTTATATTACAGAATTAATAATATAATACGTAACATAACATATTTTTTTATTATGTAATTGTACTATTTTTCCATCGACTTCAAGCCAAGGTTCTCAATTAACTATATTTTTGTGTGTTTATAATAATATGTGTAATCTTTTCTGCGCCGATTTTAATAACTTTTGTCACTTGATAGAGTTTGCATTCACGTTAGTCTCATACTAATTACGAACTGATTAAAGTAAGTTTTTTGTGGAAAGATACCCTAAATTGTTAGGGTTGCTCTTACCTAACACAATTTTAGTCTTTGATTACCCACTATTATTGATACGACGTAATACAGCAAGATTATTATTACTGTCGTATCTTATCATATAGGTTATTATTTGGGTAAAGCAACCGATATCCTATCATTACCCGATATTTTAATATATCCACGCCTTTTTATAATAGATACGAAAACGTTTGATGCGTGCAACACTGTAGGAAGTTGAGGGGACAGGGATTGTTAGTAATGGTGACTGAGAATCCCTTTGCTAGCAATATACCCAACCAGGTCGACCTCCTCGCGGTTCTCCCTGGAAACTATCATGGTTAATTCCTGATGAATTCATCATCATGGGCTAACTGACCTGTTTTCATTATCATCTATCACCCTTCACTGGTGCTCCGTCAGCGTATCCCGTTAGCGCAGGCGGGGTTACCATACCATTTTCACCCATCAAAAAAAAAACACTTTAAGAAGTTATGAATGATTGAGAAATAAATTTGAAAAGACAATTGAATAGCATATGTATGCTTATATAGCATATATACGCCACCCCTTCCTTTTCTGTAGGTGTCATGAGAGGCGACTAAGGAAGGACGAGGGATGGACAGCTGCATCCATCTTAAAACATCTCCAAACCCTAACCGCGGTTGCTAATCCGCCTACCAAGCGTAGCAACTTCAGGCAAACCCCCCTAGGGGGAGGCTTATGTTCAGCACTGGACAGTTAAAGGCTGATATGATGACAGGAGATGCAGACATGATGAAAATTAAAGTTGAATTATGTTAGAATGTTCTTTAAATTAAAATATATACAGTGTGAAATCAATATCATTTTTCAGCTGCTGTTATTATGGGAGACTTAAAATTATTTTTGATCCACGAAATTTCTATCTTAATAGCTTAATAGGTAGATTAGGAGTAGACATAGGTAATATGGATACTGATATGGGTTTCTCTAGACATTGATGATGGAAAAAAGGTCGTCACCCATTGCGATATCGCCCATATAGGTCAGATATATAATATAATGATAATAATATTAATTTCAATCGGGTTGTTTATTACAACACTATATATTAAATAATTGATATTAATTATATCCGTTGTTGGACCAATATATAGATATGGGGGGGGGGGGGAGGAAAGAAATTGTTAGTAATGGAGACTAAGAATCCCATTGCTAGCAATATACCCAACCAGGTCGAGCTCCACGCGGTTCCCCCTGGAAACTATCATGGTTAATTCCTGATGAATTCATCATGATGAGATAACTGGCCCGTTTTTATTTTCATCGATCACCCTTCACTGGTGCCCTGCCACCTGCTACATATTACCTACCTCCACTAACGATTTTGATTTCACTCTATATTTCTGATAACATCTTTCCGGACAAACAAATAGTAATGTCGTAAATAAATATTAGGTAAATGGGTCAAACCACAAATGTTCCCCTTTTTGTTAATCATTATCATTCAAGTAATCATAAGTAGTTTATATATAGTTGGTGTACGGTAAGGGAAAAGTGTATGACAATATTAAGGAAATAATTCGCATGGCCGCTGTCTTGTCTTGAATAATTTGTGTTGTGTCATTTTTATCTGGCGTTACCTGGTAAGCTATAAGTAGAAACTAGATTAATGCAAAAAAAATTAGTAAAAAGTAAAAAAATACATATCCAAGGTGGTATGACCTTCAAAATTAGTTTTACATGTATTTAATTTCTATATTAATTGGTTTGAAGTTGTTTACAAATTTAAACACTTTTTAAGCAGCTTTAAACAAAGGATGAGGCTCTCAGTTGTAATTTTTTAAAGTTTGTTACCTCGAAATCCAATTATTTATAAACCGATTTAGAAAATTATTTTCAATTTGAAAGAATATAATTCACATTTGTCCCACAGAATTTAATTAAAATCGGTTTAGTAATTAATTTTGATTTTAAAATCAAAGCAGCTTTCTCACGATTGAAATTAGAGTATTTTAGGAACTTATTAAGACTACGAAATGTTCAAAATAATCTTTAACAAAAAAAAAATATAACAAATAGCTATTCGTTTACGTATCATGTAGTAATAATCACAGAGCAATTAATCATTACGTTATTGAAATAATACTATTATGTGTAACGTAGATTTGTAGTCATAGTGACGTATCACACATACACTTAGATTATTGTCTGCAATTATTTAGTTGTATAACGGTGAAGGTCAAATTCCATTGGCACTATCTAGTTTTCTGATAAAAACAATCTGTTTTTAATGAATGTTGTTTAACTTTTGCCTAGTTTGTTAGTATTCTAATTTGTAAATGTCTAGTCGCAATTATAGACAAATTTAATCATATATTTCAGGCTTAAATCTCAGGGATTTCTGAGTAATTGAGATGTAAATAATAATTTAATTTAAAATATAGATACTGAGGATTATCATTTCGTCTGTGTCGAAAGGTTGTTGTTAACCCTAATTTGTTATCAATATATATGAATTGTGATATGTCATATAGGTAGGTCGACCAAATCGATACCTGCATAATAATAGCCTTCTTTGTTTACTTTTCTACACTTCATTTGCCTACCTAGAAATAACACTTAGTTCTAATATTCTTTAAAGGAATATTTGCTATTAATACCCACATATATCAATACAGTATCACCATTGACAGAGTTGCTGTTTTAATATTTCAGTTCGTAATGTATATTCTCTCATCACCTGATTCGGGTCACATTGTAAACAGTGAACATATTACATAAATGCTTGTATATAATCACGAGACGAGTGAAAACATAGGAGTGAGACGGCGATATTGATTATGAAACGAATTGAAAAGGGACAGAAGTATTTGTGCTTGGCCCAAATTCGCGGTGGAGCAATCGCCCGCGGCGCGAAAGAGCGCATTGAAAGAGGCGACCGGGTAGCGTCCGACTCACATCGCTACCAAGTTGTGACTACTTACTGCGATTATTATTAAAGTCAAGCGCCACAGTAGTAGGGTAATTCGTAAGATGATTATAATCTTACAAATATTGTTTCAATAAAAAAAATTTACTGAAAACAAACTTACAATTACAATACTACTCGTATGAACTGCCACAACACTAATTCACGACAGGTAGCTAGGCGCCGCATGCCATGCATGTCGTCTGTCGTTTCAAATATTTTATTATTAAATGTTGTAAACATAAATACTTAGACGAATAAATATTTTTTTTTTTCTATAAAATAGAAGGAGAAACTAGAAGTGTATTCATATATTAAATTATCTCTATTATATTTTTTTAAATTCTGTTACTAACACTATTGATTTTGGTCCTAATAAAGTAACATTAACATTATTCATGACGAATTATTTTCTATTGCAACATATTCATACGGATCTCTGTCAAGCAATTATTTCTTCAGGAAGTAATAATAATAATTTTGTCACAATGCGTTCCAACAACGTTCACTTACTTTTAAAAAATATTTTAGTAAGTAGGTAGAATGTTACACAACGCCTTATTTAATGTTATAATTTTTATGAGAAATATGTTTATCATACAATTTCTGACAGCACTTTTAAATATTTCATAATATTAAAATTTCAATCGGTGCCGAATATCCCTTCTTCCGAGCTTCTGACGCAAAAGAAAGAACCATTGATCTATACCTATATAAACTATACTAAAACAGCTGACGTTTGTATACTACAGTGACGTCACGTCATTCAAGAATCGAGTTTTGCGAAACCTTCATTGAACACAGTTACGTAATGTATGACTAGTTCTTGTGGATAATTGAAAATAATTAAATAAATAATTACAAACATCAAAACAAAATTATATTATCTTCGAGTAAATAGACGGATGCTTTGATCACATTTTTAAAATCGGAATTTATACAGGATAAAAAGTAGATTAAGTTTCGCAGACTAAGTAGACTCGCTTAGCAGTTTTTTGCTTCGCAAAAAATAGTAGTTTCATCGTCAAAAAATATAGGGCAAACACAGGAATAAACCCTATCAATTGCAAAATGAACTGTAAAAATCGGATTAGAATCGCTGACGTAATCGCATAATATTGTCACAAAAATTGCAGACGAATTCAGAAGCTTCTTCTGGGAGTTGTTTGAAAAGTTTTTATCATAAGTGACAATTTAATTCAGAGATGTTGCTGTTTTTTTTTTCAGTAAGTTCGTATAGTTTATGTTTACATTGAATATTCATTAATAACTCCGATATAGTGAAAAGAAACCGCACCGATTGAAATTTCGATACTATTGAAATGCAATCATAATTTTTTAATGAATATTTAAAATAATAAGTAAAAGTAAATTATAGTAATTGATATTAAAATAGATAAAAGCAGTAAACTTTAGTTATTTGTTCAAAAGATCCACAAAAAAAACATTATCAAACACCTTCCTATACATTATGCATATTGATGTCTGGATTCATTAATTTTTTATTTTGTTTTTAAAGCCCGATGTTCCGTCGAGATCAGATATTATTATGATAATTATACTCCTTTTCGTTACTAAATACATTTCATAATATTTATTTTTCCTGGATTTGATTAGGCCTACCGGTCTCATTCCTAGCAATATACTTTATCAGGTTAATCTTCGCGAAGTCCCCCCTAGAAACCATCGTGATTTCTGGTAAATTAGTCACGATGGACCAATGGACTTGACTTCATCCTCGTATCATCATTCACTAGTACCCCACCAGTATATATCGATAGCGCAGGCTGGTAAGCCGTATTTTCATGCCATTAAAAAATCTACTTACATTGAATTTGAGCACCAGCTTACGCATACACATATACTGTACAAATCATCAAAAAAGTCTTTAAGATTTACGTGGAGAGAATATAAGGCTCTATAATTAGTATTAAAACTTAGGTCATTACCAAAAAAGTCACGTAAATGATAATATGATCGCAAAATAATTTTGTACCTTTGCGTCAAGAGATATGTTACGACTATGTATACTCCTCATTATCCCTACGTGGTGAAACATGCCTCCTAGTAGTTCTCAGAATTGAAACAGAATGTATTTTAATTATGTTAAAAAAAAGCTACATTCCCACTTCTTTTTCAAATTCATATAATTAATACTACCAAAGCTTGAAAATTACCATTGAAAACAAAAATTAAATTGCACATTTCTAAACAGAACATTGTTTAGTATAACGTTAGATTTTTTTCTTCATGATGTCTTATTTTTCCTTCTTTATTTTTATTACGTGAAGACTTAGGTATTATAAAACTAATACATCACGTCTGTTTTTCATTGGTATAAGTAGAAACAAAATAACGCCAAATTTTATTTATTATTCATTCAATTAACTATTTATTCTTGTTACCTTACAATATTTTTTACCAAATCCCTCGACAATGAATGAAATCATAAAAGAATGACTTTGTTCATTTTACAATAGATGATTATCACCACGCCACACACCTATAATCATGATTCCTCTTTATTCGTGCTATAATAGCCATTTTAGTCCGACAATACAGCAACAGATGGCGTTACTTGTTATCCGTTTACATTCGCTACGAAATTATCTTTGTTTCTCGGTATTTGACTCGGTCGCTATCGCTTGCCAAGCACGAGCAGTTGTGATACGAGTCACAACTGACTGACCTTGAGGCAAAAAGGAGAATTCAATTTCCCGCTGCGATGTTTTTCTTATTCGAGAATACTAATAAGTCGGGACTGGTTCTTAGAACTTATTTAGAACATAAATTGATAACAATATCAACGTAGCTAAGGATGTGACTAAAACAATAATTTTGTATATTTAAATGCACAGTACACTACAAGTATAAATCTTATTTCATACTAGCGACGCCGGCCAGGCTTCGCACGGATAGATACAATTTTCGAAAATAATATGTAATAATATACTCGCTAGTAAAGTAGCTTTTTATTGGTTAAAGAATTTTTAAAATCGGTTTATTAGTTTTTGAGACAAACAAAAAAAATCGATAAAATATTTCCTTTTTATAATATTAATATAGTATAGACTAACTGTCACTGTCTTGTCCAAATTTCACATTTTCCCCCCTAAATACCTTAGTTGAACTATTATGCATTAGTAACATTTAAACAAAATGCCATTTCGGTCGTTCATTTCGTCACAGCATTTAAATTTTATTTATATTTATATAAACAGGTGAAATTGAAGTCATTAGCATCTATTGTTGAGAGTATTTTACCAGTAAACCTCCAATAGTTTTATAATCATTAAATCGAAATTTTTTGGAGTAAGGTTATTGTAATTTATTTCAAGGAATACTCTCAATAATTATTTACCCCCTTAACCCCCTTATTTATAAAAACTAAAACCTTTTATAAATCTATTAAAACTATTACACTGTTTAGTCACTTTTATTCAAATGAGGAATTTAGTACAAACGAAATAGAGAAAAAATTGTTCAATAGCTAATATAGATTTGCGAGATGTTTGACATTTTTATTAATAAGAGGGTATGACTTTAAAAAAACTAAATATAATTAATAAAACATTTATTATCACGTGATTACATAGCCTACAACACGCGAGAGCGAAATGAGTACATACGTCAATAATGTACGTACACGCACATACATACGCACGCAGGCTACGGGTGGATGTGCTCCGGTCCGGGTTATCGATCAAAGAAGTTAAGCAACGTTGAGCGCGATCATCCTTTAACGGTGGCGTGCTAACTTGAGCGTTTTATTGGCAAATGCAAAGAGTTGAAACGAGCAAATGCTCAAACGCAAATAAAATTTCATATGTTCGTCTTTTCTTTATAGTATGATATGTCCTGTTATATAAAACGTTTTAATTTAAATATTATCCTATTAATATTACAAATGCGAATATTTGTAACGATGTATGAATGGATAGATGTTTGTTACTCTTTCACGCAAAAACTACTGAACGGATTTTAATGAAATTTAATAATACCTGGTTAGAGTATATCGTAACTGTATGTATGTATATGTAAAGTAGCACATAGGAAATTTTATGTACTGATTCACGTGGGCGGAACGCGGAATACTGCTAATTATGAATATTTACATTTACAACAAAATACCATATCATAAAAATTAATTAAAATATCATAGAAATTAATAAAAAACTTAATTTATTTAAATTAAGAATTTAATTTAATTTATTTAAATTTAATTTATTTAAATTAAAAATTTAACTTAATTTATTTAAATTAAGAATTTAATGTTTAATGTATTGATTTATTTACTCAATAATGTGTTTTATAACTAATAAAATAGATAATAGTTTATTGTCAATGCGGACAATCTTAACTTAGTCAAAGGTAATCAATGTCGGTTAAAATTATTTCAATTACCATTCTAGTATTACGTATATTATCCGTACCATTACGTTATTATGTATACTTATAAATATAAATGGCGAAGTAAAACCCGTAAAATTAATGGCTGACCCAAGTTCCAAGAATCCTAAGTTACCTACCTAAAACTTGAATTACTTGACTATTAGTTACCTAAATGGAGATTTGCTTTTCGTCAATTATCAACATGATTTTAAATACACTATCGGGAATTAACTCGACGCGATTGTAGATAAACAGTATCTACATACCTGATTCTTATTGCCGACGTTCAGTCTCGATAGTGTATTTAAAATATGTGTCAACAACGCGAAAGTTTCGAATTATAATCATCATTATTATCATTAACTTATCATGTTCAGTCTTTCGATAGGTAAAATAATCCTATTAATCTACAAATACTATGTGTTTAAAGATGTTTAGATATGTCTTACTCAGGCACGTGTATACGCCTGACCGAATTTAAATGAAATCTTGTACACGTATAGATGGCATAAGAAAATATATATTAAATTTAATTTATTAAGTAATTCATGAATATTAGTCTGAATAGACTATTTTTGAAAACGTTTTAAAGATTTTAATTGTTATTTAAACGCTGCATTCTTATTTAAAAATAAATTACTAATCATATAACATTAATTATAAGCAGAGAAATTATTTACAAGTAAATTAATGATAGTGTGAAAAAGATATAAAAAAAAGTTAATAAAAAATGTATGTCCGCCTTATTTATTTATTTACTAACTATGAATACAAATTATGATAAAAAAATTGTTAAAATTAAAAAGTAGCAATACAAATTATTATTTAATTAAAAATTTTGTCTATTAGTTTATTCCGGCATTACGTACCTACCAACTACTGCACTGAACTGAATGCGGTTTTCATAGTTGTGTTCCTAAATGTTTAACTTAAAAACAAATGTATGTTTTATCTTGGTATATCATCTAAGGCTAAGGTAATCCATTTCATCGGTTTTCCTACTTTTAAAATCTACGCGTAAGAAGTAGTAGGCACAAAACTACATACACTTTACTAAATCAACTTATATTTGTATGATACAGGGTAAAAATAAGGCAATTCTATATATTGCAAAACTTATAAAAAATATTTTGAAAGTGCATTGATATGTTTATAACATGATAAATTATTAATCACTATATTTGATAATGTAAATTCAGTATTTTGTATAATATATAATATAGTAATATTGGGTAACATGCATCATAACAAAATTCTGCCTGCATAGGGATGCTTCAACGTTTCGACCAGCAACTTCATTGTTTCATTTAAATTTCCAAAGAATATAGACTTTATCAGTAGAACACAAAGTCGTTATTGCCTAGCGATACACAACAAACTAAATACTACGATAACATCATAAAAACATCTATATCTTGCGACATTGATCTTTCCAGCAACGTCCGAGAGTTGAATTTTATTTAAACATGACAACTGTTAAATTCCACGTCTGCCGTTGTGAAACAGTCGTTATCGTACCGATGAGCTTACATTCTGACAGTATAAAAAATTAAAGCCCGTCAAAACCCTCGGCAACATTTGTTCCCTTGCTTTTTGTGCGAGCGTCCCGAGGCCCGAGCCTACCCTTATACCCTGCGCTTTCTTCTTTTAGGGTTGGCGGCTGTTATAACCCTGCATTCAAACGGCTTCCCATTATAACAACGTTTAGTTGAATTTGAATTCACTGCCATTGGTTATAGTGTACTCGTTATCGTATTTGCGCTGTGCCGGGCCCTTATCTGTTTTGAACGTTACTACAATGTATTGTCGACTACATTTACGGTAGAAATATAACAAGAATGGTACGAACAGTTTTACAACCCGTGTATATTGTTGTACTGGGGTATAATGAATATCTACCTGTTAAGATGTTAGTTTTGAAGAATTTATTTCCACGTTCAGATGTGGACTTAAATAAATGTCAACTGCATTTCTTTATGTATAAATTTTAATCAAAATTGCATGCAATAAAATATAGTTGACACCTATTAAACTTTAATTCAGAGTTCCTACATAAAACTTTGAGTAAAACAGTTTATAGAATTGACAGGAACAGCGAAAATACAGATGGTATTTTCAAAGGGTTTAGAGCGTAAGTTAATTTAAAAGTCAAATACAAACATAAAACGTATGACAAAACAGTTTAAAGAATTGACAATGAAAAACAGCATTACAGATGGTATTTCGAAGGTTTCAAAGTAAGTAGGTATATAACGTTTACTTTCATTAAATAACTTTAATAAAAATTTGCGGCGTCTTTCTGTATGTACGTCTGTAACTGTGATCAAGATACTATTAAATTTCTTTCATAATATTCGTCACGTAGCATGCCTACGTGATGAATATTATGCTACTGCTGTATAAATATGAAAGTTGTTTCACTTAATCATTACCTACTCGATTCCAAGCTATATTGAATCTTATACCAGTTCAAGTGTAAGTAATGAGAAAGGCCTCTGGAACTCCGTTCTCTCTGTTCGGCCCGTAACAGACTGAGCATTAAAATAGAAAAACAATTTATTCGATACGATAAAACCAAACGCAGTAAGTGGCTCCCCAATTCCCCATGCTAACCCTGCTCGCAATTTACCTACTGCGGGAGACCCTCCTATAGAGTGGGCGACCCACAATAAGTTGTTTACGGACGTGATCCCCAGTCAAAGATACAGCAGATTGTGATTTAGAAAAATTGATATCTTGAAAAAAAAAACTTGATATCTTGGTTTGTAATGGATAAATTTAAAAAATACTTGACGAATTTCAATTCTTACACGTATAGGAAGCTTAATTGTTAGTAAGTAACATGGGCTATATATTATTTTTCAAAAAAAAAGATCGTAAGATAAAGATCCCTTTTTTCCGGTTGGAGGTAGTTGCGCGAACACTATTCAAAACTGCTCCAAGTTAAATTTTGCTTTAAAAATAGATTAAGACCTCAAAATTGTAACTTTATGAAATTATCTAAGCTATAAACAACACACTTCACTTGCCGGATAAAACTTTCGCTTTTACTTCTACTATAATTACAAGAATGCCGATGGAAAACCTGAGCTTACAAGAAACCAGAGAGGAATTCACCAAAAGGATGCAGGAGTTCGAGGGACGACTACAGAAGGCAACCCTTTCGAGCCCCGGGGCAGCAAACATCGCTTCTGACTTCGCTGTCTTTAAACAGATGACACTGGAGAGTCTGCAGTCTTTGCAACACCAAGTTGACTTGCTGGCTAAGGAAGTTGATTTGCAGGAAATGCGTAGCCGACGGAAAATTTTGTTGCTTCATGGCGTCTCAGAGAGTGATCAAGAGGACGTCGTCTCGTTGGTATGTGGTGTTGTTGGTGATCAAATGAAATTGGAGTTTTCAACGGAACATATTAGCCGGTGTCACAGGATGGGACGTATAACAACTAGTAAGAAAGCACGTCCACTTTTGGTGAAATTTCGTGATATCAATATTCGCGACAGGATCTGGTCCAATAAAACAAAATTGAAAGGCACCAATATTTCCTTATCTGAGTTTTTGACAAAAACTAGGCATGATACATTTATAGCGGCCAGACAACGCTTTGGTGTCAGAAAGTGTTGGACGCGTGATGGGTTCATTCACGTCCTTGGATCCGACGGAGTGCGGCACCGTATCAGTAGCATGACTGAACTGGGTAGGATTGTGGTACCAGAACCCCAAAAACCAGTTCCAGTTGCGGCAAAAACAGATATCGGCGTCAGCAGAACGAAACGAGTTCAAGCAACCAGGAAATAAGTGTTAATAAGAGATATTTCATTTTTGCGGGTCGGTGAGTGAGTTTGTAGTCCTTACATTAATAGCATTACCCATTTTTTTTTTATTTATTTCAATCAAATAATCAGTAATAATATAATAATCAGTAATCATATACTTTTACCCACTATTTACTATTAATAATTAAGCAGTGATGGCACAGACTTATTAAAAAAAAGGGGGTACCCCGTGATTTAAATTTTTAAACAAGGTAAGTTGATTATCTTATTCTACCTTACATATTCTGAATCTATAAATGTCAATTGTCAGCTATCAGATAATATCTTATTATCTTAGATATATAACTTTACAATTTATGCACAGATAATATATTGTGAAACTCGTAAAAAATTGTATAGTCTCTCTTTAAATTTTGAATAGATAAATCGCTTATTTACATTTACTTATTTATGCTCATTATTATATCGGCACAGACGATATCGACATTGATTGACAAGCTTAGAAGGAAATGCCGAGTACTATATATATATGTTTATGTATGTGTGTATATGCGTATGTATGTGTGTGTATATGTATGTATGTGTGTGTGTATGTATGTGTGTATATATGTATATATATGTGTGTGTGTGTATGTGTATGTGTATATATATGTATATATGTTTGTGTGTGTGTATATATGTATATATATTTTAATTTTTAATTATTAACTATGTAATAATATGAAGAATGCCATGTTATTTTTTTATACTATATGTATGTATGTGTATATGTATATGTATGTATGTGTGTATGTGTATGCATGTATGTGTGTGTGTGTATGTATGTATGTATGTACATATATATATATATATGTATATATATATATATGTATGTGTGTATGTATATATATATATATATATATGTGTATGTGTATATATATATATATGTGTGTGTGTGTGTGTGTATATATATAGATATTGGTTTTGTTTTTCATTTTATAGTACTCTTATAATAATTATTATTTCTAACCTATAAATCGAATCGTCCACGCAAATATAGCTGTAGCTGTTATAATTTATTTTCTGTCCGTTTCTCTAAGTTATAGTTGCTGAAAATGTGATTGTACAGTTACTATATTATTGTTACTTTCTTTTATTTTATTAATTTTTTCTTAATTTTTAAACGGATAGATACCCCTAAGTATTGACGGACTCACTCACCGAATCTAGGTACAGGTCATTAAGTGAAATTGTAATTATTAGTTTTCTTTCCTAACAACCGGCAGGTGGAGTACTAATGTACTTGACGTACTCATAATATTCACAATATTTTAAATTTTGTATATATCTATATATATATATATATTTTTTATTATATTTATTGTATTTATATTTTTGTATTGTATACTATTTTTTAGGATTTTTTTTTTAAAAAGTATGCTCAATCTGTTTTGCAGTAGTGACGCGGACTCGGATAATGATGACTACTTCTCTGTTTCTACACACGATTCATCCTGTAACACCAACAACAGTTTCTCCAGTTTGCCATGTCTATCGGATTCTTTGGCTGGGCTGTTCACAGATGTAGCTAACAATTTCAACATTATCCACATTAACGCCCAAAGTATTCCGGCACATTACTCTGATATGATTACTACTCTTGATCAACACAACATCCACGCTATATTAGTCTCCGAATCTTGGTTAAAACCATGCCTCTCTTCTACTTCTTATTCCCTCCCGGGGTTTCAACTTATTCGAAATGATCGAACTAGCAGTGGTGGTGGTGGTGTAGCTATTTACCTTCGTACTCAATTTACTTACTCTGTGGTCAATATATCTGCACAGCCACCTCCAAACAATGCTGGTGAACATCTTTTTATTGAAATCTCCCTCTCCCATACAAAATTACTACTCGGAGTCTACTATAGTCCTTCCATGCGCATTGATTATTTCTCGTCCTTTGAAAAAATTCTTGAAAATCTTACTCCCTCCTATAATCACACAATCATAATGGGCGATTTTAATACTTGTCTCCTAAAGAATGATACACGTGCTTCCACTCTTATTTCAACTGTAAAAGCTTGCAATTTAAATATACTCCCGTTATCTGCGACACACCATTTTCCCAATGCTACACCTTCACTATAATTATAATCTCATCCCCACAAAATGTTGTGAAGCATGGTCAGTGTGCAGCGGACTCCTTTTCTTATCATGATTTGATTTATCTATCTTACAAAATTCGTCCCCCAAAAGCAAAACGCAAAACTCTTTTCCAGCGTAGTTTTGGCAGTATGAACGTGGAGGGACTGCGCAATGATGCGAAAGCAATGGATTGGACACCTGTTAGAGAGGCAATGTCCGTGGATGAACAGGTTGTACAATTTAACAAATTGATTACTCAATTATACGATGTGCATGCACCCATCAAAGCTATCAAAATTAAGCACGCACCTGCCCCATGGATTAATGATAAAATTAGGACATTGATGCATGGAAGGGATGCCGCAAAAGCTCGTTACAAGTATCGTCCCAGTATTGAAAATAAGGCTAAGTATCTCAAACATCGGAATCGCTGCAATAGAGTGTGTAGGGATGCACAACGACGCTACATTCATGACTCGATCTCAGAGCGTGATCCCGGTAAAGTTTGGAAATTTCTCAAGTCATTAGGAGTTGGCAAGATCCATCAGGATAGCATATCTTCTAATTTAGATGTTAACTCTCTTAACCAGCACTTTTCAACATCTCCTGTTATTGATGTTAATAATAAAACTAAAACATTATCAGATCTTTCCTCGCTTCCAACTCCAGACTATTCACCATTTGTTTTTAATCAATTTACAGAGTGTGACGTTAAGAAGAGCATTATTTCTATAACGTCTGATGCAGTAGGTAGCGATTGCATCAGTCGTAAGATGATCATTCCGATTCTTGATGTAATATTGTCTATAATTTGCTTTATCCTAAACCGCTCCATTGAAACTTGTACCTTTCCAAAGTGTTGGAAAGAAGCACAAATTATCCCCATTCCAAAAAAGAACAATCCTCATTCTTTCTGTGATTTGCGACCTTTCAATTTTCCTTTCTAAAGTGCTTGAACGCCTTATTCATACTCAATTGACAAAATTTTTTACTGAAAACAACCTATTGAACCCTTATCAGTCTGGCTTCATAGCACAGTAACAGCACTAGTCAAGATTACTGATGATATTCGATCGGGTATGGAACACGGCCAACTGACCATTCTCACGGATTTTATGCGTTCAATACCGTTGACACTAGAACTGTTACGCTCTCTTAACGTATCTCCGCCTGTAGTTGAATGGATTCGTGACTACTTGTTTGGACGCCGGCAGCGAGTACGAATAGGTGATACATATTCATCTTGGTGCGATACGTTTGCTGGCGTTCCGCAAGGTGGCGTCTTGTCTCCTCTCCTTTTTTCAGTTCTTATTGACTCAATATCTGACCAACTAACTTCTCTCTACCATCTATATGCAGACGATTTACAAATTTATACTCAATAGATAATTTAAAGGATGCTATCGCTTTAACAAACAAGGATCTTAAACATATAAGTTTGGAGTAAGGCTTTTGGACTGAAAATAAATCCTTCAAGTCTCAGGCAGTTCTAGTAGGTAGTTCTAAGTTAATGCAAAAGGTCGATCATTCAACACTGGCACCTATAAATTTTGGTAATGTGGCTATCCCCTTCAGTGCATCAGTGAAAGATCTAGGTATAATTATAGATAGTTCCCTTACTTGGCGGCCACAAATAGAATCTGTCAGCAGGAAAGTTTTCGGATCTGTATGCTCACTTCGTAGACTGCGTAATTTCCTTCCTACTGCTACCAAAATTGCGCTATCCCAATCTCTTTTACTTCCAATTCTTGATTATGCCGATACTTGTTATCTGGATCTTACGGAAGACCAGCTTAACAAACTTGAGCGTCTTCAAAATGTTTTTATCAGGTTTATTTTCGGTCTTAGAAAATATGATCACATTTCCGAGTTTCGCACTAAGCTCAAGTGGCTTCCTATTCGTTTTCGCCGGAATACTCATATTCTTTCACTGCTCCACAATGCCCTTTTCAACTCTTCTTCCCCTCACTATCTGAAGGAGCGGTTTGAATTCTTGCATACTGTCAATTCTTTTAATCTTAGGTCTTCTGAGGGCCTTCAGCTGAAGATTCCGGTACATTTCTCTAATTTTTATGACAAATCATTTACGGTGCAAGCTGTACGGCTTTGGAATGCTTTACCAGTTTCCTTACGAAATATAAAATGTACGGCTGGTTTTAAAACAAAACTGAAGAACTATTATTTGAGCAAGTTGTCATCTTCTTAATGTGTTTATATGTCTGGTTAGCATACTTATTACTTGCATACTTTTCGTGAACAGTATTTATATATTTTTATGTATTTGTGTAGGCGTTTATGTCCATGATTGTATATGTATTTGTATTTGTATGTGTATGGTATGTATATATTGTATATATGTATATATATATATATATATATATATATATATATATATATATATATATATATATATATATATTATTATATGTATCACATATATTTAGAACTAACAAAATTTTTCATCGTGCCTCCCACCAAACTGTTTATAATTACTCCTCTCCATCCAAAGGTTTAAGAGATCGCTCTTAGCGATAAGGTCGCCCATTGTTTTCTCATTGTGATTATTTCTTGTAATTATTTATATTTATAATAAGTTTACTATTGTAATCTTTTGGAGGAAACAATAAAGAGTATCTATCTATCTATCTATCTAATATTTGCAATGATGCAGGATACATGCTACATAGGGCGGGTTGCTAGTGAATGTAATAATTGACATGTGTTATCTACATTTTATCTATAGAAGCATTTGTGTATAGCTTTGCTCAGCAATAGACATCCACAGCCTATGAGTGACCAACTGAATATACATTAATTGCATATGAATACTGTTTACGTCATCCTATTTCCACGTACAGTATAGTAGTCATGCCTATTAAAAGTTCAGTCTCAACT